GATCCATTCGGACATCATGGAGATGCCGATTGCCAAAGATGGCTCCAGGTACGTGATCACCTTTACTGACGATTACTCTCGTGGCTCGTGGGCATATGCCATGAGATGGAAGCATGAAGCGCTCCAGAAGTTCCGACAATTTGAGGCCTGGGTGCACCGACAGTTCGGCGCCCAGATCAAGAGGTTCCTCACCGACAATGGGAGAGAATACTTGCCCGTCGGAACACACCTCGAGTCCCAGGGAGTCGAGTTTGACACCTCGCCGCCATACTGCAAAGGGCAGAATGGTCTGGCCGAACGCACGAATCGCACTATCCGGGAGCGGATCAACACGCTCCTGTCCGATGCGAAACTTCCTCCTTCCTGGTGGACCGAGCTCTTGGACACGGTGGTCTATCTGAAGCTGCGCGCGCCAGCATCGATTTTGCAGAAGAAGACCCCATACGAAATCATATACGGGAAGCCGCCCTCGCTGTTGCATCTGCGGCGGATTGCCTCCCGCGCATGGGTGTTGATCCCGAAAGAGCATCGAGCAAAACTCGGACCCAGATCATCCGAGTGCCGATTGCTAGGTTATTGTGAACCGAACCAGTACAAGCTGTATGAAATTCATTCAGGGAAGACAGTTTTTTCCCGTGATGTCGAGTTCGATGAGAGGACCCCAGTGGCGCCACTCATCGAGGGGGAAACAGGCAACGACCTCCCGGACAATGCTCCTCCATCACCTGTCTTTCCACCAGCGATGCCACCTCCATCTAGCGCATTGCCTACGCCACCTGCATCGCCTCCGGACTTGGCTGAACGACTGAAAACGCCATCTCAGCATGTGGAGGAAACACTTCCACCGGTCAATCCAATCGAAAAGGAAGCAAAGTCCACACAGGATCTCGGCTATTCCATCTATGGCCGCAGAAGAAGACCCTCACGGCGCTTACTGGAATCACTTGGCAAGGTGTATACCGCAGGCGCACTGAATACCGCATCTGCGAGCACAGTCGATCCATCGACTTTTCACGAGGCCGTGTCGGGCCCGAATCAACTGGAATGGTGGGCAGCCATCCAGAAAGAATATGCGTCTCTTCTCGAGCACGGAACATGGGAAAAGGTTCTGCGAACAGACGTACCCGTCGGAGATCATGTGATTGGCTGCAAATGGGTCTTCAAGACCAAAGCCAACGGAACGCGCAAAGCGCGACTGGTCATCAAAGGCTACCGGCAGAAGCATGGCATCGACTACCATGAAACATTTGCTGCGGTGTCACGGATGGACTCGGTCCGCTGCATCATCGCCAGCGCTGTATTGCGCGGATGGAAGCTTCACCAATTTGATGCGGTCACTGCATTCTTACATGGTGACGTAGACTCGTCCATCTACATGGAGTTGCCCGAAGGCTTCGAAGAGCCAGGCTATGTATGCCGGCTTCGCCGCTCTTTGTATGGTCTCAAGCAGGCCCCGCGGATTTGGTACCAATGCGTCCACCGCGTGCTGGCTGCTCATGGCTTCACTATGGCACAATCGGACAACTGCGTGTTCTACAAATCCAATTGCGTGATCTGTGTCTACGTCGATGACTTTCTCGTTGCTGCAGCAAACCCGCACGAGATAGACCAAGTGCAACGAGCATTGGAAAGAGAGTTCCGATTGAACGACCTTGGAACCCCACGTTCGTTCCTCGGGATCCAATTCGACTACCATGCCGACGGAGCCGTTTCCATTCACCAACAACAGTACATCCAAAAGGTTCTCTCCGACTTTGGCATGGAAACCTGTCAGCCGAAGTCTACCCCGATGAATCCCAAGCAAGTCTTGAATCGCCGTCCAGACGAAGAACCTCCGGACGAGCAAACAAAAGCACGATTCGCAACCGCCATCGGTTCATTGATGTATCTGATGGTCGGAACGCGGCCGGATATTGCGTTTGCGCTGGGCACGTTGAGTCGCTTCACGTCTCAGCCACAATCGCACCACCAGGTCGCCCTGCAGAGATTGCTTCGCTATGTCAAATCTACGCAATCCCATCGCATTACATACCGCAGTGGCCAATTGATTGGATATACGGATGCCGACTTCGGCGGCTCCGTCGTCACTGATGGAGCCTACTCGACGTCCGGCTACGTATTCCAAACTGCGGGTGCGCCGGTTTCCTGGTCATCTAAGAGACAGGGGGAAGTAGCCACATCTACGACCCATGCCGAGTACATTGGACAATACAATGCCATTTTGCATCTACAGTGGCTCCGCACCTTCCTGGCCGAAACACAACTGTATCGGTCCCCGGTCACCAACATCATGGCCGACAACCAATCCGCCATTGCGCTATCTCGCAATCCCGAATTCCATAAACGGACGAAGCACTTTAACGTGAAATTTCACTATCAGCGAGCCGTGCTGAATACAGGCGAGATTGGGCTTCAATATGTTCCGACTGAGGAACAGGCCGCAGACGGTCTCACCAAGCCATTGGGGCCTACAGCCTTTGCCAAGTTTTGTAGTCTCTTAGGAGTCGACGCCTCGGAGGCTCCAAGACAACATGCGTGACAGCGCAGGCGCTCTTTCCACTTTGTTTTCCCACGAAGGTTTTTTAAGTGGTTTTACCGAGGCCTGACTGCTCTGCGCAATTCCAGTATCGCCCTGCCAGCAAAGCGATCCTGAGGGGAAATGTTGTGATATGAGGCTGATGCAGATCAGGAACCAAACCGCATCATCGGAATTAATCCCGACTTATCTATGCGAAGAATCAAGTTGATTGGAAATCAACTTGATCTTCTCGTTGTATATATAGACTCATGTTTCCCTCTGAAATAATAAGCAATTGATACCTCTGAGCTACAACAGCATGCCACCCCGTCTCCCGCGATGATATGATCGCCAAGTTCACAAACGCTTCGGCGGAAGGATAGATTGAAATTGAGACCTCGAGAAATGCCGGCGAAGAATGCGACTTAGAGAGTGGAGGGGCTTAGAGAGCGGAGGGGTTGCACTATATGCTTGAAAATTTTGCGAACTACCGATACTGGTAATGTTGATGAAATCATCAATGCTACAAGACTTCTTGAAGTTTTAGAGGACTGAGACTTAAGTACTTATGGTACGTCAGAGCGTGGACAAGTTAGATAAGAGAGTCTATTCGTCACTGCTATCCTGCATATGTTCCATCTTCCTTGCATGTTTTGTAAGATTGTCTTTCCGCGTGAAGGAAGAGTCACATTGGGCACAAGGAAATCGTGCAATCTCCCCCAAATGTTTTTTGGCCCATGGCCTATGGTGGGCTACGACATGCCGACGCATATCCGTTTGTTCTGCTGCGCGATGTAAACAAACCTTACTTTGACATTTCACAGGTTTGACATGTCGCCGAATGTGTCTTCTGTTCGAAATTAGCTAACGCACCAAAGTCATTCTAGACGATTTTCAATACCTCAAACCATATTTTTGATCCCACACCTTCGTTGATTTGCAATCCTGATATATACAACGATACAACCCGTCTGAAGTATCCGTGATATGGTCTAGTGAAGGCATTTCTGCTTCTTCAAACTTGTCCATACATTGAGATGCTGCAGCCAACGATGCTGAGCCACCTTCGTCTTGTGGCTCTTCCGGGTTTCCGGTCCCAGTAGATGCCAGACTCTGCGTATGACCTTGGAATAGATTGATTCCACTAGGAAGCAAGTCCGATGCAGCACTCTACAGAGGCCAATCTTCGGTATGGTTCTCAGTGGGAAGCAAGTGATCCAGGAAAGCAGTATCCATCAAGTCGAAGTTATCGTTTCCCCGTTGATAGGCATATAATATTGTGTTGGAAGGAAGTGCGGCACCTCCCTCTGCGTCGAAGCTCATTGGAAGATCAGTTGATTCAGATTGGTCAAAATGACGGGTTTGATCGGTCCGAAAGTCGAGAGCAAAATTCGAAATCCACCCCTCGTCATCTTCATCCTGGCCAGGAAGACTGACTTCCATATTCATTGATAGAATCGCAGATGGAGACTGCAGAGTAAGGTACGGTAGGACTGTCAGATTTATAAGGGACACGAGGACGCTTTGCTTGGCAAGTCATGCCAGCATGGATCGCTTTCGTGACCTAGGGGATGACCAAATTCAAAAATTCGGGCAACGGCTTCAGGCAATCACTTCAGGCGCTCGATATCAATATACGCTAATACCTTGCATAGGCATGTGTGCTCGCTCATCATCATTCACCGCCACTTGTCTGACGACGATATAACTAAATAAGAACTGAAAGAACTAAAATACTGAGTAGTTAGGCTAGTCCACATATCCACAACTTCACCGCTGGTTGTGTGGGCCGTTTGCTTATACTCGACCATTGGGACAAGTATGCGCTCTGTGGCAAAATGTTGACAGATCATCTGTAACTACCAATGCATGGTGCCTTTTACAAGCTGACAACTGCACAATGCATTCCTCTGGCTAATAAGATGCGAAGCCTTTGTATAATGTGTTGGCATTCTAAAAGGTTACTGCTACATACTCGTATTGAACTAGAATATTGGTTGGTGCAAAGTGAATTATAGCAGCCACTGATGTAACCCTTTCACCGTCTAGTCGACCTGTACCGGCAGAGCCCGGACTGTTACGCTCCGACGCATATCTCAGATACCATTTTCCAGCAAAATCTATCGCTTTTCCTTGGGATAAAAGGCCTTCGCAACCACGCCTAGCTCTGATTCCCAGGTCGATACTCATGCGACTTGATTGCCTACTTAGATTCATCGCTATGATGGCTGCCCAAGGTCCAAGTATTCAAGATGCCCCAATCAGTGAGTGTTATATTCTTAGGGCTTAGTGGATGGAATTTCCGCTAATATGAGCCGTAGACGAGCTCGTGGGAAAAATGATGTTCCGCGAATACGTCACGGCGATTCTAGCCAGATCAAACAAATCCTTTCAATTACTCGTTAGTTTCTTAGTCTTCGGCTCAACTGAAACGTCTATGCTGAGGCTGACTGATTAGGAGACCGAAGTCATTCAATTTATTATGTCTTATGATTATCTTGCAGCAATGCAGACTCTAGAAGCGGCGCGCATCGCTCCCTTTCACAATCAAGAAACAGACCCGCAAAGCGCCGTCTTCCGAGTACTTGGCTTTGCTTATCGCTCTCTGCAGCACTCACAGGCGTATGCGCTGATGTACAGCCTACTTCAACTTAGCCACCTAGGACGCCACAGGGAACCTCATATCAGTACGTTGGCTTCATTCATCACCGGAACCCCACAGTTGCTGCCACCTCGGAGTACCCAGACTATCGAGGTAAACACGCAATTCAACGCCCAAGGAGAAGAGGATCTATCAAAGTATACCTCTGCGTTGAATGAAAAAGGACAAGAAGATGGGAAGGCACTCAAACGTATATATTCAACACTCAGAAAGGATCCTCCTCAGTTCAGTGCCGAAATTCGTTTTGGGGACTTGTATTCATTTGGGGTCGGACGAAATAAGAAGATTGCTGGCCATTTGGCTGCAAAGGATCTCTGCCGTCGAATAGGAATTTCAGTTGGAAGGTGACGGTAAAACGATCTAAAACTTTTCTTTCGGTTCAAATTGCACCATATCTTCGTACGCCTTCAAGCAAATCGCAAGTCCCTTCAAGACTTCCAGGCATGATTTTTGCCAGCCTTACTGCCTGAAACTTCAAATCAAGGACTTCACTAGCTATGCCAAAGCTATTCTAGCGCCTAGATAATCATATGTATTGTTCGATAATCTTTGCTCGCGACGTTGAATGTTTTTCTCCTTTTTCCTTTCTCTTTTTTTTTTCTTTTCAATACGAACGTTATTTACTGTTGAGAGGCTTCTGGCCCTAGTTTAGGAGGTGTTTCTTTTTCGTGCTTCCTCGTAGTAACAAGAGCCTCATAGGAGCCTGTAGCATTAACGTATCATGAAGGACACACGGCCACCTACAAATGACTATAAGATCCTGTTATGCGCAAGAGCTATAGCTGTCTACTTTAAGAAGGGCAAGCAGCGGAAGTGCTGTGAGGTTCTTCTCGGGTTCAAACCGCTTCATAGAACACACTCTTATGCGAACCTTAATTCCACTCTCCTTCATATTTTTCAACAAAATAAGTTTGGAAAGTGTCTTTATTATCATGACTGACAATGCACCAAATAACCGAACATTAGCTGATACATCATAGCAAGCAACGTCAGAACATGCCACTCTTATTAAGGTCCCAAGTCTTTCACATGCGCTTCGGCTAAGGTTTAACAAGCTTCTTAGGAATACTTCCCACGGAATGAATCAACAAAGACATGATGGCCAGCGCAGGGACCCAGCAGCGCTTGCATATGTAACAAAGCATGACATTGCTAATATGTTGAAGGTATATACTTCTTCAATCATCGATTGTAATACAATAATTACATATCAGCCTCTAAATTCGTAGTCTTGCTATGTTTGAGAATACATTCTACAATCTACAATGTGAACCAACGAAGCTTATGCCTCTTCGGATCGTCAAGATGAGTGAAATTTTACCTTCATAAAGCTGCGGCATTCAAAACGCCCTCGATCGTTCTTCCAGCCATTCTGTGAGGAGTATGAGCGGGGTGATATAGAATCTGGTGGATGAAGACGGAGAATGGAGCCGGTTTGGCTATCTCGGCAAACCTCCAGCGCAAGACCGCTTTCTTTTCACTTCCGTTTCAAGGATTCGGGTATATCGAACTCAAAAATGCCCACTATTAGTGGAGATATCATATCAGCTTTTGCGACTCGACACAGAGACGCCGGTGGAGAGATCACCTGTTCTTAAACCACAGATTTCGAAGGCACAACTAGATATGAGCGTCTCGAAGCTTTGAGCTTAGCGTGCAACTACACGGCCTGCCTCTCGGGCACTCCTTTCCAACGACTCAGCGGCATGCAATGACAATTGATTCAAGGGGTGCAATATCTTACCTGTGGCGTGGACCTGGATGGGTAAAAACAAAGTTCGCATTTCTAGACAATAGCCGACTCTAAATTGAGAATTGTTCCGGAAGCTTTCAGTATACCTATTTTCTCGGGACTTTTATGCCCACCCCACAATCTTCCTGACCAAAGAAAAAGGGTTTTCAGATGATCTTATGGTCGAAAAGCTGAAACCAAGCTTAATCGGAATTGCGGCATTGTTTAGGTTAGATAGCAATTGTAGTATTACTGGGCTCGCTGTGAACTAGTAAAACTGGCTGAAATGATTGCTTGTGGTATTCGAGCTGTATGGACGGAAAGACGCTGCCGACCATGAAGTTGCCCTAGCGTTACGACGATCACGCTTAGGTTCTTGATATAGGACGAGGCGAGTCTATAGGCTCTCGTTGATTGTAAGAAATACCTGATAGCAAGTTCTCTTTTCCCTGTGTGCTCATCGCCCAAGAGTTTGCTGTGTGGAATTTCAGCCAGTTGTATAACTACAGATTTTACCGAGCCCAGCATCCAAAGTAATGTTACCATGTATGATACATGCAATGTCTTCATGAACGAGTCATACCTCATTTCCTCGAGAAAACGTAATTATATGTGCCCTATTCGTGAAGACTAGTGCTGTTGATAAAGCCTGACTGAATGAAAATCTCTACCTACATCGGCGTCAAGGTTGAAAATAATAAGCTCATTCTGAATGCGGCGAATCCATATTCATAGCATAATCCTTTTAATGAAAACGGCTTTCAAAATGAATATCCGTGGTTCACATTCATATCCTTCTGACTTTGTCATGCGAATGCAAATGCGAATAAAAAAAGCTCAACATTCGCGAATGTTCCCTACCTTGCCGGCTTCTTTCATCGTGGGCCTCCCGCATTTTCTTCTGGGGTTGATAAAATAGCGCACTATTATTCACTGGCTAAATATTCATTTTCTATGGTGTATGCATGGAAGTTGCTTGGGCATATGAGGAACTTGAAGCCTTATCTTGTATGAATGCTCTCTCTGTAAGGAGAACAAAACTTGTAAACATCGACAAAGCCCAGTCTGTGCTCAGGCAGACTCTGATTGACTATAAAACGAAAAACAAGCTCATTGAACTCGAAAGAAGCAAAAGTTGAACAATATCTTTTTTCTATCCTAGCTACGAGAACACTTACACCTTAAGCTGGGGGGGGGGGGGCGGGGTCCGGATCCGTGTGAATAGATAGATACTTTTAAAATCTTAAGACAATCCCATGTGTCGTCCCGTGCGCCACGCAGGAAACCGGTCAGACCAAAGTGGAGTGGAGCCTGATGTATGGAGGTCAAATACTCATGTTGCACCACTGTAGCTAGGCATCAGTTGCCCCATGCCAATACTTGTTCTAGTTGGGGCGTGTTGGTAGCTGCAGGGGCTGCACATAGCCGCAGCTACCCAATGGCGAAAACATCTCAAGATCCTTGTCGGGTTGATTGGCCCTGGGTGTGGCCACGATTGAAATGCCTCGTGCAGGCGCGTAGGCTGATTCATCGCCTGGACCTGTTGAATGTGGCTTTGCGGCGCGACACACCGCTACACGGAGCTGTCAGGCATTTATAGGCCATTCATAGGCGCGAGTCGAGCATGAAAAAAAGGGTCTCACTAGAACGTGCATGAATGCCTCACAATTATCTCCTTATGCGCAGCTAACCAAACTGAAGTAATGTACATTTCAGCGTCAACACGCATGCTGGGGCTCGTAACATGAGCACCGTTTTTTTCGCACAATAGCGCTCTTGTACTAGATTGCGCTAATTCATGCCTACGTCTCTCTTCTCCAAGAGTATACCTGCTTGGCGTATCCTAGATTATTTCATAGAGACTTTCCCTTCTCCAAACAATCACTGGAAACCTACATCTTTCTCAACGAAACCCACCCATCCGTGTAGCCTTCTGAGCTAGAAATACTTATAGTGCTTTAAAGATCGCCAGAGCTAGACCTTCTACAGTTCAGCCTCCTTTCACGATGGATCACCGCGGAAATTGGCGATCTCAGGGCAATACGAGCAACCGAGGAGGATCCAACAGCTTCAGAAAGCGCAATCAGCCGGAAACACGCTGTATGCATTTCCAGCGTGGCAGATGCCACTACGGTGAGAGGTGCAGATTCTCGCACGATGTGACTGGGGCTGCCGACTTCAAGTCAAATCCAGCCCTGCCCTATACCATCCCACAGCCGATGATCTGGACGTTCGGAATCAATACTTCGACTGGAAGAGGCTTCTTAGAAATGGGATCTTGGGGTCTGGATATTCGCGAAGGGAACATGAGGAGATCGTTCAATTCTGGAACGGGGCTCTCGAAATTCTTGAAAGCGACAGCAGAGAGAATCACCAATTTCTCGCCAAAGATCTTGTGGATGACAATCTTCATGGATATGCATTTATCCTGGCAACTGCGGATGCAGACCACCCAGAGGGAATGAGACCTATTCCAGCTTACGACGAGCCATTTCTCAAAGTCATTACCCATACTTCTCTCTTGAACTGTCTTTCTGTCGATTCATTTGTTGGCACTCTGTACACATCCTTCAGTGGCACGAATGGAGATCGAGCAATCAGATATCTGAAAAGTATATGCGCGAACCTGATGGGTAAAGGTAAAGACACCAACGAAAATGCACCGGTCATCTCTTTGGATATGGTGAAGTTGCTGTTGAATACCCTTTACCAGCTTTTATCAAGGGTCCGACGCGCTCGACTTCACGATGAACTTCCCGCACTGCTCGACCTAATCCGCGAACTGGGCTCCAAGATGACTGAAACATGCTCGCAAGCCGACCTTGACGGACTTGAAACCAGAATAGAAGTCATGCAGAGCCTAATCACTAGCGCAAATCGCAATCTTGTTACACCCAAAGCGCATCAGGAAAATCCCCAGAAGACTGGGTTAGTCCTGTCGTCCTTTCCAATGGATATGCAAATACCCGGAGGAAGACACGACAACGACCTTGCAGAAATCTCTCAAGTTCAGATTCTTCCTACCCATGGAGAGATTGTCAGCGGCAATTCAGAATATCTACCATCTACCAACTTCCTTCAGCCGCACTTTCTCGCCGACCCTTTGCAAAGATACATTGACTCAACATTCCGGCTCCTGCGCCATGATATCTTCGGCTCAGCCAAAGATGTTCTTCGAGATTTGCTGCAGCAGAAGGATTTGACACGAGTTCCTTATCTCTCAGGCAAGGATAGCGGGGCACATCTCTATCTGGGAGCACAGGTCCAGCAAATGTTTATCAATGAGCGAAAAGAGCTCCAAGCGACCGTATCGTTTTCTACTCCACCACCACTCCGCAAAAAGACCTCCAATGAGCAATGCAGGTGGTGGCAAGCCTCCAGTCGACTAGAGGAAGGAAGCCTAGTGTGCTTCTTGACGTCTCAAGGAACTCTCAGAAGGCTTATTTTCCTCGAGGTCACTGTGAAGAATGCTTCCAAGGACCGAGCGCACCAGAACAAGAGTAGTCTTGCTTCTGATAGGTTTCCACCTAGTATTACGGTCAAGCTTGCGGCATACCTACAACAAGAACTGATTTTCCTGGGCCAGCTTTACAGTGAGAAGCTCACCGGTATTCTGGTCGACTTCCACGGTTTGATCCCTGCCACGTTCGTCCCTATCCTGAAAAACCTTCAGCGAATCCAACGCGAAGGGGAGTTGGCATTTCAAAAATGGGTCTTGCCAGGCCGTAAGGATGATGAAGACGGTCACAGCATACCCCCACCGACATACGCACGCAAACCAGGATTTATCTTTCCCCTGACTTCGATCACAAACGTCGGAGCTGCTAATGTTGCATTGGACCCGAGTACCCCTGAGTCTATTGACATCTTGAAGCTGCAAAGTCGAACTGGTCTCGACCACGGCCAGTGTCACGGACTTATCGCTGCTCTCACTCGAGAATATGCCCTCATCCAAGGCCCGCCGGGCACCGGAAAGTCCTATTTGGGTGTTAAGCTTCTTCAAGCTCTCCTTGAAATCAAGGAAAAGGCAAAGCTAGGCCCGATTATTGTGATGTGAGCACTGATCTTATGCTCTTTTGTATTTTTACTTACGGAAATTACAGTTGCTATACCAACCATGCCTTGGACCAATTCTTAAAGCATCTTCTTGATGTTGGTATCCAGAAAATCATACGCATTGGCGGCCGCAGTCAGGCCACTGAGCTTGAAGGCAAGAACCTTCGCGTTGTCAGCAAAGACATTGGGAAGACGAGAGTAGAGTCGCAAACCCTCGGCATCTCCTACGGGGGACTTGAGGATTGTATGAAAAATGCTGGATATGCAATGAAGCCCCTACACCAGTCTCAAAAAGGCCTGTCTTGGACCGCGATGGAGCATTTTTTGCGCCGCAAATGGCCCATTATACATGAACAGCTGGAGCAACCTGACCTGGACGGATTCACCACTGTCACTGATGACAAGTTACTCAATTGGATTGGAGTCAAATCGATGATAACCCAGAAAGACCAGAACGAGGGTGAAGTTGACGATTTCCGCTTGGAAGGTCTCACACGCGCGGCCAAGGAAAATATCCACAGTCTCTCGATGCCGGAACGCCGGATCCTTGCAATGAGCTGGTTTAAACAGTGGCAGGAAATCGAAACAGCCTCCCTTTTCGAGGCTCTTGATCGCGCTGAAAATCTTCGCGAGGACATTAATGCAGTCCATGAAGAGGTCAACCGCCGAGCCCTGATTCAAGCAGATGTGGTAGGAATCACGACAACAGCCCTTGCACGCCATATCGAGACACTGCGCCGCATAGGAGCAAAGGTCATTATATGCGAGGAAGCAGCTGAGGTGATGGAAGCCCACGTCATGTCAGCCCTCATGCCAGGTGTTGAGCACTTCATTCAGATTGGGGATCACCGACAGCTGCGGCCACAAATTCAAAATCATTCACTCAGTCTTGAAACATCCACAGGGAAATCATGGCAGCTAGACAGAAGCCAGTTTGAGAGACGCGCTGTCGGTGAGCCAGGTCTTAAGCCTGCCCCTGTCGCACAGCTCAATGTACAGCGAAGAATGAGACCTGAGATCTCGCAACTTATCAAGAGTGTCTATCCAAAACTCGAGGATCATGAAAGCGTGACGACTCTACCCAATGTTGTTGGAATGCGGAACAACCTATTTTGGCTGGACCATAAATGCGATGAAGACTCGGAAGATGACGGCAGCCGTGTAAAGTCTCATAGCAACCAGTGGGAGGTCGATATGGCTACTGCACTTGTTCGGCATCTTGTTCGGCAGGGAGAGTACAAAAGCGCGGATATTGCCCTCTTGACCCCCTATACCGGGCAGCTGCGGAAGCTCAGGACATCGCTCAGCAATGAGTTCGAGATTTGTCTCAGTGAGCGAGACTTGGAAACATTGGCCGTAGATGGGTTCGAGAAGGTTGAAGATGAAAATCCCGAGTCAAATGGTGACAGGCAATCGAGCAGAAAACGTTGCTCCAGACGCTCCGCCTCGCTACTGTCGATAACTTCCAAGGCGAGGAGGCAAAGGTGATCATTGTCTCCCTAGTTCGCAGCAACTCAAAGCGCAAGGTTGGCTTCCTACGCACCGAAAACCGCATCAACGTGCTCCTCAGTCGAGCTCAGCACGGCATGTATCTCATTGGAAATGCCGAAACATACCTCAATGTCCCAATGTGGGCCGATGTCCACTCTCAGCTCTCCCGTGCGAATGCAGTCGGCACGGAGTTGGCTCTCTGTTGTCCTCGCCACTCAGACACGTCTATTCTCTGTTCCGAACCTCACGACTTTGATAGGAAGAGTCCTGAAGGTGGGTGCAGTCTCCCGTGTAGCCGTCGACTCGAGCCATGTGGCCATCAATGCCAGGCCAAGTGCCATTCGGCGGTCATGCACGACGGTTTTGCATGTGGAAAACCTTGCCCACGTATCCGATCAACCTGTGAGCACGAATGTCCCAAGCTTTGTGGTGAAGATTGTGGCCATTGCATAAAGAAGATCCAAGACGTGGAGCTTCCTTGTGGTCATATCAAGAAGACAATATTTTGCCACCAGATGCTTAACTTGAAAGTTCTTAAGTGCGACGTCGAGGTTGAAAAGACTGTTCCTAAGTGTGGTCATACGATCCGGGTTGGCTGTTTCAAGGATGTCACGTCCCCAATCTTCAATTGCCCTGAGCCATGCACAGACATTCTCAGCTGTGGACACAATTGTAGTGATTGCTGCGGAAACTGTCTCGAGGAAGTCCATGACGGAAGAAGAATATTGAAGCACTCGAAGTGCACGAAAAAGTGCGACCGTCCACACGGTGCTTGCAACCATCGGTGTCCCAAGACATGTCATAATGGGGAGAGCTGCGGTTACTGCGAGGCAAATTGCGAGGTAAGTCTCACTAGAATCATCATCTTGTCATCGTATCGGAAGTACTAATCATATATACAGGTTCGATGCTCACACTCAGCATGCGACTTAACCTGTGGAAAGGCATGTGCACCATGCATCGAGAGATGCACCTGGTCCTGCACTCACCAAGGCTCCTGCTCAATGCCTTGCGCGGCACCATGCAATCGACTTCCTTGCGATGAGCGATGCACCAAGGTTCTCAAATGTGGTCATCAGTGCCCGAGCCTCTGCGGGGAAGATTGTCCAAACAATCTGTGTCAAGAGTGCGGCGACAAGGAAGATTCCCGTGTTGACTTCCTCGAATGGAAAACCTATTCCCAAATCAATCTCGATGAAACTCCAATAATCGTGCTTGGATGCGCCCATTTCTTTACGAGTGAATCGGTTGATGGATTGGTTGGCTTAAATGAAGTATACACGAGAGATAAAGATGGAAAATTCGACGGCCTCCAAGATGTCTCTTCTCTTGCCAGTGCCATACCCTCGTGCCCGGACTGTAAGCAGCCCATTTGCCAGTTTGTGACGAAACGTTACAATCGCGCTATCAACCGTGCTGTTATGGATGAGACTTGTAAGCGGTTCCTTACCAAGGGCCGCACCGACCTTGAAGGCCTTGAATCCCGTCTGAATGACATTGAAGACAAGCTCAACTCTGAAAAAGCAATATTGTTCGCAGGGAACGCTAAATTACAGCTCAAAGCACGATATGCGGCCTGTGAGCGCCTTGAGACGGAGGCTTCGGCTCTCAGCAAAACCATGGAGGCCGAGAATCAGCCGATGGAACGGCTCATGGATGCAATTGCCATCTACCAGAAGTTACCAAGGAACGAACTAGCCTCCCTCTCATCCCGAATGGAGGCGATGAGTATAGCAACACGAGAGCCCGACAATCAAATCACCCTGGGCGCACGGTTAATATACATCAGGGCCCGGGCAGTCGTGTTTAGCGATATCTTTAGAGTGATAGATTCAAGCGGAAAATCTGCAACACCACCAGGGCTAAGATTCACCAAGCCATCATCAACCTTGACTCAAGTGTTAAAAGATTGTCGAGACTTGATAACTAAAGCCAATGAAAGAAATCTCTCCCGCATCGCCATCACGGCAACCATCTCATTCGCCAAGATCGCCCAGCTGGACGCGTGGTATCACCGCACTCATCCAGGAGAAACAACAATTGATCTTCTTCAAGAAAAATACACGGGTCTAGAGAAGCTCGAAGATCGCACTGAAATTACCCGCGATCTCCTTGCCGTTGCTTTGAAACTATGCGACGAACTAGGAAACTGCCCTGAACTTCAAGAAAAGGTCCAGGAGATGATCCACCTCTACGAGGGATCACGGTACGAGACAGTAACTTTAGAAGAACTTGAATCAATCAAGACGGCCATGGTCAGCGGGCGAGGAGGAATCGCGACTCACTCTGGGCACTGGTACAATTGCGTCAATGGACACCCGGTGAGTAAATTTTCCATTCGTCGAACTATCCTAAATTACCTTGACGAGGCAAATAAGCTAAGTAATCCTTTTGTAGTTTGCTATTGGAGAGTGCGGTATGCCGATGGAGCAAGCTAGATGTCCTGAATGCGGAGCACCTATTGGAGGTCAAAATCACACAGCTGTTGAGGGCGTATCTCGAGCGCGGGAGATGGAGTAGATAGGAACCATATTGTTTTCCGTTTTTTCCGTTTTTTCCGTTTTTTCTGTTTTTTCTGTTTTTTCTGTTCTGGAGTAGTGCACACGATTCTACATTTAAATGTTGTACGACAGTCTTTTTCAAGCGTCCGTACCTTAGCCTACCCTAAATAAGGGTGGTAGATTAGTTAAGAAAGGATATATTACTAGATCAAATCTGAAGATCAGTAAGGATTCAATTTGTATGTTGTTGTCTGTTATTTTTAACCTTTATCATCCATTTTGTGGGCAATCCTGGGTTGTTCCACAACCGGTGACAGGTAAACGGTGGCGTGTTATAACATGCGGTGGTTCCATTCACAGCATAATAGGTCTGGCAGAAGTTGCTACAGGAGGAACCGTCTTAACACAGTTGGTCTTTCTTGGAGTACCAGGAGGTGAAGTTATCAGTTACGGATATATCCAACTACTCCTACTGCATCAATGTACGGTTGAGTCGAAAACTGCGGTAAACCATTGCATTGGAGATATTATGTGCCAGGACAGAGTCGGTGAACTCCGTAACACCAAAATTTCCAACACAGTCAAGGTTTCCCAGGTGGTGAGCCGAAGGGGAGCAGAAATCATCTAAAGCTCGTCAGCGAAGGGGCTGACCGCTTTATATCGGGACAGTAACGACGTGTGAGGACAATGACCGGTCGGTTTGAACAGGAGACCTCAACTTCAGTGAGGGCTTTCTGAGTCTTGGGTAATGATTTGGCACATGATCCAGTCTGCCTCCCGCATGGTTTAGTTTGCCTCCGCGTGATGTTTATTGCCCTTTTTAGAGTTTACATCTTGGACTTTGAGTCATGCGTTGGCCGAGTAAAAATACCCCTCCCATGTCAAGATTCAAATCTGCATCTGTGGAGTCGTAAGTGCTATTCTTCGGTGGAAAGGCTTCGAATGAGATTCCTTCAGGGGTGCGGCACCACCTGTCGAGCTGGGAACCATAAGGAGATCAATTGTTTCAAATTCGGAAAGGTGAAAGATTGGTTCAGTTAACAGGTCAAGAACAGTATTTGGGCTTCCATCGTCCTCATATTGGCCAGAGAATGTGGTGTCCATGGCTAATTATAGGAACAGATAAGATGACAACGCATCATAAGGTTAGACGGCTTTATACTGAAGGAAGACACGTGTACTGGCTTCTTGGCTGATTCATTCCTGCACAGATTGTTTGCATGACTTCGACAAATCATTCTTCTTTTGGGGAAGCACACACGAGCCTTGAAAAATCTGCCGGTCAACTGCCTAGAGCCCAACGTGACTCTTCGAGAGTGACCACATGAGTTAGTCCACATGTTTCGCCGCTCTTTCACCGCTCATTCTCTTGCATCCTTTGCGGTCTTGAGCATCAAGATAAGATTTCGCTCTGTGGAATCAGGTTGATTGGTTGGATAATTGGAGCTAGGAATGCATGGCGCCTATTCCAAATTGTCTTGCGTTAATCATGTTCATTTCGCTATTCGTCGGAGCCTTTGGGTCAGACAGTGAACTTTGGAGCAGGCACTGTACGTGATACGTATCGATGTCTGAGTATGTTGGTGCGAAAAACATTCATTGTACTCGCTATATAGGTCATTGCTTTGCTTTCTTTCCTTTTCTTATTTTTTATTTAAAAAAAACGCTCAGAGCTTGAGCCAACGCATACTTCACGGGTGAGTCCGTCCGACGCTCTGGGGGTACAAACAATTGTCACTTCGTTCTTGACCCTTTCACTGAAGTGCCGAAACCACGTTTGACTTGCTTTATTTCTCTAGGCCCAAAACTATTTCGGTTGCTTGCTGACTTAGAGCATATCACTATGGCTACCTGCCAATCGTCAACTTATGGTTATGCTCAGAGCTGTGAGTCTTCTGCTACGCTTATATTTCGATATATATGGCTCTCTAATGCAGTCTCAGACCAGCTCGTGAGAGAAGCGATGTTCCGCGCAAATATCACACTCGCCCTAGCTCGGTCCAGCGAACCCCACAATTTACTGGTTAGTTTCCCTGTCCTTCACTCTGGAAGTAAGTTCTCTGAGCTGCTTACCAAGTAAGGGCCTGATATAATCAGGACAATGGCCTGAAGCTGGCTGTATTTCAAACCATCGGCTTTGCTTATCACTCGCTACTAGCTCCAGAGGCGTATACTCTACTATGCAGTCTACTTCAATGTGGTCATACTGGGCACACCACAGAGCCTCGGACAGATACTTTGCGTCCATTTACCGAGCAATCACCGCAGCAGTCCCGACGGAGCAATCCGACAAGCGAAGCAACCCTACGGTCTGGAACACACAAAAATAACTTAGCCAAATACACCTCCGCTTTGTTTGCAAAAGGACAGGCAGAAGGCAAGAAAGTTGAACGTCTGGTTTCAGAGCTCGATTCAGGACACCTGCAGTTTAAAGTAACCATACGTTTTAGAACATTGCATGCATCAGGAATTGGGCGACAAAAAAGGATTGCTGGACATTTGGCTGCAGAAAAGCTTTGCCGTCATCTAGGCATCATAGCTTAAAGATAATTACGAGATCATTTCTGAATCTTTCTTATTGTAAACCATGAATAGTTTCATCGCTATTAGCTAAGGGTATTTAAATTGCAGTTATTGTTCCCCGCAGGCAGCGAGTTCTTGCAACAATTGAACAAGGTGACTTAACGGGTTATTCGTCGGTGGCCTAACGCGGCCAAGAGAAACAAAGAGAGTGTGACTTGGCTGTAGCGGGTCATCTGTCGCTGCGGTTTTGGACTGTAGCGTCAGATAGGGCCCGTCTGCGACGAGTTGTCTGTATCCCAGTTATTTTTATATATGGAGGGAAAGCAAAATCGAGTCTTGCCTGCTTGAAGGAAGACGAACGAGCAGCATGAAGCAAGCAACTGACACTGACTCTCGCGAGGTGGGTATAGAAGGCAAGAAATGTCTCAGTAATGTCGGTGTATATATCAAGTGAGTCACCCCCAGTAAAACTACTCGTTTTGAGTTATAAAGAAGGCTCATTGCATTTAGAAGAAGCTAGTAGGTTTTTTTACAACCTAAGATAGATCATGCGGGTTTTAGATCATTCAGGGGTTCGGCAGGCTTTTTGGCCGAGGTCTCGGCTGACCGGGTCGTTGATTCCCAAAAAATCCTTATGTGTGCATTTAGAGTTCCTCCCCCCCAAACTTCCGTCGGGGCCGGTATAGGACCATGGGGGACTGTGTGCGGTCCGACCCGCCATTAAAAAGGCCAAAGACCGCATATTCCGGTCTCAGTCTTGAAGTCGGGACTGAAACTCCATTCTTGGCCTAATTCATTTTGAAAAGTTTGGCCTGTGCCATACATAGAGCATAGAGAGCTTCAATATCCATTCCAAGACAGCGCTAGACATGAGGCTGTAGTCTACTTGCCGTAGAGTTATCCTGGCGGTTTGTCCCAGATCAATGTATGCTAATGTACTGTAGTGCGCGATTTTGGTCGCATAAGACAATATCTTCTAACATTGATTTGATCGCATGAAGGCTCTCTATCTCACATTATGACCAACCCACGTCCACTTCTTCAAATTCTCCATCTTGACATGATTGATCTCATAAATTCGGACCCAAGGTCGGTACTTTGGAACAATAGGAGCTTGTGGCTTCCATTTCCCACATATGGAGACTATGTTTACGTCAAAACAACGTTCGTAGGCCTGATTGAGGCTCTGTGACCACTCGCCCTATTGCTGCGTTAGAATAGAATCATCAAGAAGCTCTAGCAAGGTACTGGGGTTATATACCTGGGGACAGGTGAGCTTTGAAAATAGTTTCAAGAACTTCTTGGCATCTTCCCAGTCGCGTAGTCTAGATCCACCCCCCATTAGGTATTGATCTAGACGATAGCCATGCTCTCCCCATGCTTGAAACACGCGAAATCCTTCTCGGCCAATGGCTAGCATGAAGGAATCTGCAAAAGACGAATAACGCATATCAGAAGATACCCTTTCGGCTCGTTCGATCATTTCAACGTCGACTAAGCTGACTCCCAAAACCGTTGTTTCACCAATTTTGCCCTTGATCCCCTCGTTTTGATAACATTTTTTTTATATTCTCCAATGGGCTGAAGATTGAAGTTGAACAGCACACTTTTCTGTGAATAAAAGCCCCTTGCTGTGATTTCCCGAAATCTGTCTGTTTGCCTACCCCTTCCTGGCCGTGGACCGGGACGTGCCGTGCCGAACTCCCCGTACTTGAGCTTCATCAGGTCACGTGCATTATGTAATACTCCAGGTGGCACTATAATGATGTTTGCCTTGTTGGCATGAGGATCCTCCATGTCCGATGCTTTCAGACTGCCAGATTCAACCTAGCTTCTTGAAGGATCGAGTACAGTACTTTTCGAAATCAGCTATACCTCCAAACTCTTCCTTCTTGATTCGAAGAAACTAATTCCGACGCGCGCTAGGCTGGGTTAGGCTACCGCCTCGGAATTCTGGCAAAACTGTCATCGTAATGATTGTATGGCCAGCAATGAGTCATTGTCACAGTACCGTATATTAGATAGAACCACTTGGAATTGCTTGGTAGATCGCCAGCTAGCTTCCCCTCTCCCGTCAGCCACGTTTTGCCTCTTTCCACCCATTCCTTCCACATGCGGCAAACCACCGTTTTCGCTTGCCAGTCATAGTGCAATAGCCCGTGCTTACCCCATGGAGGAACTAAACCTGGTAGGGAAAGATGTTTTCGTCTACCTCCATGAATTTTGCTATCTAGTGCACTTTCCATTCGTTACCAGCCTCAATCCTAACCTGGTACTCCCAGCTAACGTTTTTTACAAGGATCGTGATCAATGTGAGAGATGAACCAACTTCGCCTCGATGATGCAACGCAGTTTACGAGCTACGAACCATGGGAACATCACTCGGATTACGTCCCAACGTCTGGCTATTCTGGTAGCCCCTACGCAGTGCTATCGGACCTGAGCCCTTCCTCGTTGAGAGCAGTTGAGAATAGCTTCGACCCGACGAGTGAACCAGCCTCACCTGACCTCAAATTTCTCCAGTTGTGTGAGTGGGAAGATGGGAGAGTCTACGACGGGGACCCACCAACGTACATCCACAACCGGATAGAGTGGCGAGTGACAGCCAATAATAGGGAGGTGTCAAGGGACACGGAGGAAGATGTCGTTTTGGCACCTAGCGCCTTCTGGCAGCTGTCCTCGGGAAAAAAGTTAGAAGCCTTTAAATGAATACATGGTGTAGATTCAATTCATTCATGCTATTAAATTGCTTCTCGCTGATTTAAATACGTGTTCCTCGAGATGTATAGAATAAGGTTCAGCACGTATTTGAGCTCCTTCAAGTGCTGTCAAAAAGAGGGACTCCCCCATTTTCCGAGCCAGAATCTTCATCAAATTCCGTTTCTGCATCTAAATTATCCGAAAGGTCTGTGTCGGGAGGACTGTTGGACCTGCTTTGATGAATTCGTGAATACGTACTTGGGGGAGTCTCGGGACTTTCTGCACCGGATACCTCGAGCGAGTCAGAGCTGATGCCAAATTGCTGGATATTCGTGATGTTTGTGATTGAATCTGGATGCCAACGGTTTGGTGGTAAGCGTTGCAAAACATGGGTAATCACTTGCTCGCGAAGGTCTTGGGTCATCTTAATCAAGATATCCTTTTGTTGCCTAGCGGCAGGATTTTCGTTGTCAAATTGTTGCACATGTGGGGGACTCCACTTCGTCCAAATTTTGCGGTGAGAAGAAGACACCATCACACGGGCTGGATGATATTTCAAGTACATTTCGCAGCAGAGGCAAGCTGGCTTACTACAAGCGATGAAACGATCGTCACCCGCGAATGACTTTTGCATCTTGTAGAAGTACTCCAACACTTGGACCTCTGCATGGACATCGAGCAAGGAGCCATCATATGGACGCAGAAAATCTTTAAAGATCCCGACCACCTTTTCCAAGTGGAGAAGACCACCCTCGAGCATTTTTCTTTCACTATCATTGTTCTTGAACATTCGGTTCAGAATTCCCCGAAGGTTGGTATGCGAGTCGCGAATGGGTGGAGGTACGGCGGATGGTGCATAAATCTTACAGACAGCGTAGTTA